GGGTTTTTACCGCCCCCCCAAACTGCAAATGAAAATGTGCCCCTACGATCCTGAACCCCCTCTAAGGTTGCTTTCACAGTGATGCGCTGTGGTCTAGAGCTCTGTGCTGCACCCACGGCTTAGCTGTGCTTTGCTATAGACGTCTATTATGTATTGTGGGTGTGGTGCACTTTCGGAAAATGCACCAAAACTCTTTCATTCAGGAGCACACCAAACCCACAGGACAGAATAGAAGTGCGCTTCCCTGGTTTGAGGTCGAGGGACACATTAAAGGGTTTCAAGGGCCACAGATTGAGCACCCCTGCCCTAACAATAAAATCTTTGGGTTATGTAGATCAACCTTTTTCAACCAGAGTGCCTTCAGGATTTTTATAGGGGTGCCTTGGCAAATGCCTAAAAAATACCCCTCCCCACCAAAAAAAAAAAAAAAAATTGTATGCAAGGCAGTGGGTGGATCAAGCCAATCTTTTAGTTACAAAGTCACAGGTTTTCATTGTGCACCATTTCAACTGTCCAGCCACTGGTGTCCTAACAAGCAATGACATCATTGGTTGAGAAGGAGGATATGGGATGCCTGCACAGCATCCTTGTTTGTCATTCATTGTCAGCACTGGGGTGACATTAGCTGAGGGTGGGGGGGGGGAGAAACATTGGTATAATAGTCATTACCCATATTCAAAAGGTGTGTTTGATTTGTAAGAATAAATCACCTGGAAATTGGGTGTCCTATGTGTGGATGTTGCTGCGATACATAAAGCCATTTTAATTTTTTTTTCTTTTGTTCTAGAATGGGGTGCAGAATTTTGAAGGGTACCTTGACTGAAAAAATGTTGAGAAACATAGATGTATACAAAAAGAAGGAGGCATTTCATTGAATGACAGCTTTATATTGAAAACCATGTTAAATTACAAATGAAGGTATCAGTAAGAACTGTATATTTGTGTACAGAAAGTGTACCTATATACACATTGGATTGAGAGTAGAATTATTGCCTAACACAAAATTGCCTTTTTTCTTTTTATTCCTATACATCTGTACATCTATACATTGCATAAATATATCATAGAAAGGAGAAGGTCTTGGAGGGGCAGTCTTTCACCCTCAAATCTCAAGGAACCCATGTACTCAGCACTCCACTACAAAGGGCATCTCACCCCTTTTTACAGAGAGTGCGGAAGGGATGGTGACATTTCATAGGCGTCAGGAAGTCTCACTTCTTGTATGCCCAAGCAATAAAAAATAAAAAAATAAAAAGAGTGGGGTATCCTGTTGGAGTTTCAGGATTCAGAACAGGGGAAGAAACTAGAATGCAAACTTAATATTTTATACACAATATATAAATTAGTCTCCTTCCAGCAATAAAATTTGCCAAGTAGGTGCCTAGTCAAGATCTGCCCTGTGCTAGAGGACGTGGTCGATCTTCAGTCGTGACCAAAATGAATGGTACCACAGTGTTTGATGCATTACCATGCATTTTATGGCAAATTACAGAAAAGTACTAGTGCAAAAATCGGTGTTTTAAAGCCAACTCTGAGAATTCAGCCACTTTTAAAATGTACTTATGTGACTTAGAAGTCCAAAGAGGTGCATGCCACCTCAAGGACCTCTCCCTTTTTACAACTAACAGTTTTATGATGCGCTGGGAGTACAGCCATTGCTACACTCCCTGCGCTCTAAAAGGAAAGAAGCGGTCTTCTCACACAAAAGCATCTCTGCCCGCCTCTTCCTTCTGCTGCTCATTCACATAAAGCTTTGTATTCTGTGAATGGATTCACATAATACAAATTGCTCTGTGATTGGGCAGGGAAGGGGTAGGCACAGTAGCTGCATAGGACTCTAAAGCTGTTGGAGCCGGGACAAAAAGATTCAGCGTCTGAGACCTGGAAGTATTGCAATAGCTGTACTCCTGGGAAACCAGTAAAAATGGCTATTGTAGATTAAAGAAAAGTCCACGAGGTGGAATGCACCTGTTGCCAATAGGACTGCTCCGTCATAACCAGGGACCGTAAGAACAAAAAAGGTATACCACTCAGACGATCAATCCACAACAGGTGCAGGCTCTGGCTCACCACCCCACACAATGCAGTAGGAAGAAGGGTCACCGCACACCAGAGGATAGATGAATATAGTGTGTATTTATTGATCCATAGGACACACAAAACACCAGGACATGAATACAGGACTTGTTAACGCGTTTCACATGATCCCGTGCTTAATCCAAGCCTTTTTATGATTAAGCACAAGAACGTGTGAAACGCGTTAACAGGTCCTGTATTCATGTCCTGTGTTCTGTGTGTCCTATGGATCAATAAATACACACTATATTCATCTATCCTCCGGTGTGCAGTGACCCTTCTTCCTATTATAACCAGGGACCCTGCAAAAGTGATGCAACAGGACAGCAGAGGTAAGACAAGAAAGTGAAAGGCTGCTGGTACATCCATCTTTCATACCCATTTCTGTAACTTTAGCTGGACTTTAAAGCAAATCTGTTACTCAGCACTTTGGTATGGATAAGGTAACAAGTTTGCTGGACTGGAGGCACAATGACAAGCTTTTCTTACCCTGTATTCCCATGCCAACGCGAGAAAGGTCTGGTATTTACAGGAAGGGGCCACATGGAACACAGACATTGGGACAAATCCTGTAATAAGAATTTAAACCACAAACTACAAGAATGTAGCTCCAGGGTTTTTAATACCCCAGTCGCACGAGGCCTCTCATATTGCACTTGCAGCGATTGTCAACAAGTAGTAGTTGTTCTAGTCATGAGGCTACTCAAAGTAAATATGCATTAGATATGGTTGGCGTTCAAATAGAGGTCCATCAATTGGTTAAAGAAGCATAGCCAAAGCTCATTTGGGGCTGTACTTCTGTGGATCACAGGAGTGCAGTTCGTTCTGCACTTCTGTGACCTGTTTTCAGTGACAGCAGGTCCGCTGTCAGCTGACGTCACTCAGCCAGTCCAGGCTGGGGAAAGATCCCGACTTTAAAGTCGGGATCCACCCAGATTCCTGGACTGCCACCTGGCTCAGCCTCTCAGGGGTCTGGCTGAGAGCCTGAGCCAGCAGCTCCCACCCCTTCCACAGCCCAGCTCTCCAGTGAGCTTGGAAGGGGGGCAGAGCAGAGAGCGGTGACTGGTAGTCACCAGCTCTCTGCTCATGGAGCACTGAGAAAGAAGTGATCAGCTGTCTTTGATTGTTCAGTCCTCAGTCTTGGAGTTGTCAGGGGACCGATGCTGCATGCACCTAGGCAAGTATGATTTCTAAAAGAAAAAAAAAAAAAAAAAAATCTTAAACTTCTTTTACTGCCTTCCCCTCCAAACACAGCACAGGTTTCAGCCTGATGAATTGGCTGACGTTTGAACCATATAAAAAGGCCCCATCTGCACCACTCAGACAGCCCAACGAACTTTGATCTGAATCGAATCAAATGGACCGGCTGTGCAGTAACTGCAGCCAATCAGATGCAGTCACTGTTCAGGTATTCTGACAGCCGCAGGTGCAGCAACTGTTTGAAGTGAAGCTCCAACCATAAGGGGAAGTTCTGCTTTAAGGATTGGGTCCTCCATGAACAAATGGCACCTTTGCAGAGTGGGTAACCAATTTTGACAGGTACCCGCTCCCACTGCCTAGGCGATTGGAAATGGAAGTTTTCCTCCCCCCTCCGCAGTCTTTTGGGACATGTGACAGGTCCCTGAAGACTAGGAGACCATTCACAATGTGTAGCACTACTCGCACATGCACAGTTGGCACCCGGGTGTGAAGCCACAAGATGCCGGGGACAGAGGACTGCCGGTGTACCCACACCGCTGTTAAGTGTGGATGAGGGAATGGGATAACAGGGCCACTCACGAGCACAAAAGCATGGTGTCAAAAAAAGTTGTTAAAAAGGGATATTAAAAAAGGCAGCCCAGATCCTACTCTTCTGGGGTCCCCTGCTGCGCTCTTGGTCTCTCTCTCCTGCCAAGTGCCCCCAGAGCAAGCAGTTTGCTATGGGGGCATCCAAGTAGGCTTGCGCCAGAGTCCATTTAAACACAGAGCCATGGCTCGGACCCATCCACTCTCTCTCTCCTCATTGTCTCACTGACTGTAATTGACAACAGCAGGAGCCAATGGCTTCAGTTGCCGTTTCAGCCAATGAGGAGGGAGAATACTTAAAGAGCCAAGGCTCTCATGAATATTGCGGGAGCACGATGGGGCTCAGATAAGTAATTGGGGGGGATGCTGCCGCACACAAAAGGTTGTGCAGCCACAACTTTTCTTGAACAACTTATTTATTTCTACATGACAAATGTGCGTTGCAGAAAGGGCTGGACAGCTTGGCCTGCACCAGGTAATGAAGAAAGAAAAGATCTTGCATGTCCTACCAGCTGCCATCACCTGGAGTGACTTAGGTTAGAAAGGAGCTTGTCGGAGGAAGCTCATACTGCAAACTATGCAAAAGTTTTGGCATTTGGTCCAAAAGGAGCAGTAAAAAGTTTCTTTAAAAAAGCAAATGACAGCTAGTTTATTATTTGTTGCCCTTTTGTCCTCATCAGCTGAAACTTATTTTGCTTTCTACACACAAAAATGGCTATGAATTTTTTTAAGGAAAAAACAAAATCAATCTCACAATACAGCAGCATGTCAAACAATAGAAAAATAAAACATTGCACTTTATGATCTATTTATAGGTTCCAACCCCCCCAAGAATTAGTTTATTAAATTTCTAGCTACTGATGCGGCCAAATTGACATGTTTACAATAAAAAGATCTTTGAAATTATATTTATAAATATATACAATTTTAAAGGCAAGCATAAAAAGCTGCCAGTAATGTATATTTTAATCAACAGTGTCCTTGTTAGCAAGTAGGTATATTACATTTCCATGGCACCAGATCTTTCTGTAGTTTGTAATGGTTCCTGTGGCGGCACCATTGTGTCTTCCCACCCATAGTGGAAAAAAAGCCAGTTTATCTCTGTAATACTGCGCTGTTTCCGATCGGTTTGATGTATGTTACTTCTTGCAAAGCGAAGAGAAGAAGCATTTCCCTCGTTGTTTATCTGGTGGTTTCCCCTCCTGCTGCTTCTCAGATAGGATTCCCTCGCACTCGTTTTTGCGGCAAGGCTCCATGGTGACGGCCACGCCTACACCGCTTCGTCCTGACAACATTTGTGTCACCTCTGTCCATGAATCCTGAGTGGGGTCATAACATTCCACACTGTCCAAAAATGTGGTCCCATCGTATCCACCTGTAAGATAGGAACACAGATGGATTAAACCTCAAATATCACTACTGGGCTTTCAAAAAACACAGCAGAAAAGCCCAGTGTCTAAAAGAATGATATTATAGGTCATTGTGATTCGTATGTGACATGAGTGTATAGGATGTATGGATGAGGAGTGATTGACACTCAACTGTCATATAATAACGATTATAACCATTAGATAGGTAACTGGAGTTCAAAACAAGTTGGAAGTATACATTAACCTCCCTGGCGGTATTCCCGAGTGTAGCTCGGGGTAAAATTTCAGTACCAAGAGCGGTAACCCCGAGCTACACTCGGGCTTACCATGCGGCGTTACTCAGGGGAGTCCCTGCAGCACTTACCTTGTCCTTCGCTCCCGCGATGTTTCCCCTGCAGCGTCCCCGGCCATCTCCTCCGGCCAATGCCAGCATCCGACCTCTGTGTTCCGGTCCCTGTGACGCCGGGACGTACGGGCACCGGAACCGGCAGTAAATTTTAAATTTTTAAAAGGTCTTTTAAAAATGATTATTACATAGTAAAACATTGCTGTTTCAATGCATTTCACATACATTTTGTCCCGAGTGCTTTGTCCAGCGCCCTGCCTGCATTTTGACTGTTCTTTCTGCCTGGAAACTTAGAAAAGTCCATGGCGTCCAAAAAGCGTCCCTTTACGTCAAAAGTGGTTTTAGACCGGCTAGAGAACAGCGATAGTAAATCAGAACCACTTGCAGAATTGAGTGATAATGATTCGTGGGGGAAATTCCTCAGACACTGAAAACGATTTTGCGACTTTGCTCAGCGATGTGCGAATTTGCCTCTGTATTTCAAATTTGTGTTTTTGGTTTGATTATATTATTGAATTAAATGTATTATTATATTATTTTTTATGATTATTTAATAATAATTTATGATTTCGTGTTTCAAGTTTTATCATATCCAGAATGTTTACTAGACTCTTGTTCGGACAGATTTCAGTGAGTTATTCCTAAAAATTACAGCCTACAATAAAAAAACTACATATTTCCATGCAAAAAAATGGTACCGCTTTCAGCACACAAAAAAAAATAAATAAATAAATAAAAAAAAAAAAAAAAAAATCGGAAAGAATCATACTGCCGAGGAGGTTAAACTGAATAAAACCAGAGATATGGCTGATATTCACCAGATGTGCATTCTATCAAAATATGTAACTACGCATGACGGCACGAGCCAATCAAGCGCTGACTAACTACTTCGCAGAATCATACATGATGTTATATAACCAGGAGATACTGCGCATGGCAGTAGATACGGACATTCCAAATTATGTATATAAAAGAAGGGGGATTCTAGGGGAATTTGGGACTCATTGAAGGTGCGGCACACGTGCCTTGCGGTAATTTCCCGGATTTCCCGTTGCGGATTGCTGGAGTCCCCCAAGCGTTGGACAACGGGTGATGCTACAATATCCGGTGATGTATTGATGCTTTATTCTTGCTATAACATAGACTTAATATGCCTTAAAACAGTTCTGACAATTCTTTATATTTTTATACTAACAGAACTTGTATAATAAAAATTGTTTTGCTTTAACATCTATTGAGCCTAATCTGTGTGTTGGTGTTTTTAACACTACCACATCCGCTCACTAAGTTTCTCAAGGAAAAACAGTCATCCATTCTTGCAATACACACCTCTGCTAGTCAGCGAGTACCCTACTACTTCTGGGTCAGGTCCCTGCACAGATGGCAGAAGTGAGAACGCCTATTTAGGCCTCATTCAGATGGGCGCTGTCACCTGTACTACATGCAGGCTGCCTTTGTTTTGGTGTCTGCATCCGCTCTGAGCTGAGTGTAGGCAACCTATAGAAGTGAATGTAAATGTAGCGGCTTCACAGACAGCCACATGTCAAAAAGTTAAATCGAACAAAAAAAATCAGCAAGCGCTCAGCTCAGGAAACCAATTGCGGAAGCCGCATATGCACATGTGCAGTGACAGCCAAGCAGGAGCATTCAGGCCCTGCAGCTGCTCTGTGTAGCTGTCAAATTTTTTACCAGGCTGTGTCCAGGCAGCCGCTGCATCTACTTCTATAGGCTGCCTGCAAACGGCTGAGAGTAGATGCAGTTGCTAAAACAAATGCAGACTGCACACAGTACAGGTGACAATGCCCATCTGAATGAGGCCTTCTGGTCTACGGTGAAGAGAGCACACAGGAACCCAAATAGCCTGTAAGGCAGACTGCAAAGCATTATACCAAACAGCACTGAAACCAAACCATCAGTATGGATTGCCATGACGAGGCCAAAATGTATTCTGCTACGTCTTTGGTAAAAAACAAACAAAAACACAACACACTAAATAGATGTATATTAACCATTAGCCGCCCGGCCAATAGCCGTTTGGCGGCCGGAAAAATGCTGTAGATTTCCAGGTGGACGCCATATGGCGTACTCCCGGGCATGCGCAGTTTGCGCGCTTGCAGAGCCAAGATCTGTCACCGGCCATGTACCTCGGACATGGCCGACAACAGATCTGAGTACCGACCCCCGTTGCCGGTACCATGTGACCTGCTGTGACCAATCACAGCAGGTCACATGACAGTTGTATACAATGGATGGCTTCATTCATGCCATCCATTGTATACTAGTGCCTAGCTGTGAATGGTCACAGCGATCACATGCACATGTCATGTGATTAGCTGTGGCCAAATCACAGCTAAGCACAAAAAAAACAAAAAACAAAAAAAAAACAAAAACCAAAAAACCCTGAATGAATTGATGTCATTCAGGTAAATGCTTGCTTATAGCAAATTAATTCTTTGCTATAAGGAAATTGTGTAAAAAAAAAAAAAATAAATAAAATACTTATCACTTCCCCAAAGTAGTGCAATGTTACTATGGTAACATTGTACTACTTTGGTCATAGTGAAATATGAAAAAAAAAAAAAAAAATCTTAAAAGAAAATGTAATAAAATTTAAAAAAAAAAAAATAAAAAAAAAAAATTTCACACTGTCACCAGTCAGTGTCCCTGATCACCGCCATGCCAGTTATATGACGACGCTGTACTGCACTGGTGACAGCATGTTAAAAAAATATATATATATAATATATAGTGAAAATAATTTTTTTCATTTTTTCATTTTCTGAAAAAAAATGACAAAAAAAAAACCAAAAAAAAAAAAAACACCACAACTTCAAAAAACTTGCCATTCCTCTTATGAAGTACGTCGGACTGTCTACTTTGTAAAAAAGGGGTCATTTGGGGGATATCTGTACTGTTCTGACATTCTTGGACCTCAAGAAATTAGATTGGCTGTCAGTACTTCAGGATTGATCAATATTCAGATCTATACCATAGTTTGTGAACTCTATAACTTTCCTACAAACTAAAAAATACATCCTAATTTGGGTTATTTTCACCAAAAGACATGTAGCAGAATACATCTCGGCCTAAATTTATGAAGAACAATTATTTATTTGTAAACTTTTATAACAGAAACAAAGAAAAACGTGTTTTTTTTTTCAAACTTTTTGGTCTTTGTTAATTTAGCAAAAAACAAAAACCCCAGCGGTGATTAAATACCACCAAAAGAAAGCTCTAGTTGTGTGAATGACAATTGCACAGTCATACAACATTGTACCCAAACTAAAATTTTATAATTTTCTTCAAAGTGTGAGAGTGCTGAAACCTGAAAAAATGGCCTGGGGAGGAAGGGGGTAAAATGCCCGGTATTGAATTGGTTAATTGGTTTATGTGAAAATTAGTGTCTACAAGCTGGTATATATACACACAGGAATTTACGCAGATATGACGGTATACTGTTAATGGTGGTGATCAGTGACTTATAGTGGGGACTGTGATAGTGTGGAGGGCAATCTGGCACTAGCCAACATTGGCTGAGAGGGACACTGACATCAATAGTGGCACTAATACAGTGATTAATGCTGATACTATACACAGTCACTGTACCAATGACACTGGCTGGGAAGGGATTAACATCTAGGGGCAATCAACTGTGTGCCTTACAACGTGTAATACGTGATGTTTTTTACTTGCCAATGTGAATGTTTTTTCTCTCTGCTTTGCAAAGACAAAACACAGCCATATCACTGCTCATTGTAAAGAGCCCTGTGTTGCTAGTAAACATACATGTGATCCAGCGTGGCGGGGCCGCCCCCCCTCCCCCCCCCCCCCTGCAATATATATATATATATATATACTGTGGACAGTCTTAAAGCAGTTAAAGAAACTGTTGCAGCAACCTTATAAATCTTCCTTTCATGGTGTAAATCTTGGATTATTCTGACAGACAAACCTCCAACACTTCCAAGTAGCGTTAGACCTACCTTCAAAGACCTGGTACACCCCGGCCCCACATGCACACGCACTTTTAATTGCCTATCACTTTGATGGGTGACTACACTGGCCAATAGGAGATTTAGCCGTAACAGGAGAGCTGTTCAAGGCACTGAACATTGAAAATAGCTCAAGCTCTGTCAGATATGATGGAGAGCGTCTGAACAGCAATTGTCAAATCTTCAAAATAAAAAAGTGAATTGGTGCGGCTCAGTGTATAAATAATAGATAAAAGCAAGAATAAATGCACATATGACCCTCATCCAAGTGTGAAACCAACATATGCAAGAAAAGTGAAAGTGCAAAGAATGACAAACATCAATAGATGCAGCACAGTATACTATACTGTGCTAGTGACTGAAGTGAACATAAGAAAATATTGACAATATATTGATGTTTTTGATGTCAAATCAGTCCCAAAAATAGATTCAAGCAAGAAGACTCCCATAGTGTAATATATCCAAATTGACTACTCACATTTTAAAAACAGGTCCGCAGACCAAAACAAGCAAAATTACTGCAGCAAAGACTGCAGGGAAGGTGTATAGGATCGGGAGTACCAAGATGGCGGCTGCCGTCTGTACCGAATATGACGTCACCACGCTTCCGTCCTACGTGTTGGGTCACGCGACTTCCTCAGGGCCCTAATATATTACACTATGGGAGTCTTCTTGCTTGAATCTTCCATGTGAGGTACTGGAGGTGATTGAGGTCTGCGGCCATACCTGGAGCATACCTGTGAGTGTCATTGGAGAGGACCTGGTTTCTCTGATTGCGATCGAGGACTATCTATTCGGGATATCGTTTGAGGTTTCTTTATGCTTTATGACTCCTTGGGGGGGGGAGGGGGGGGGGGTCGCATTTTGAAGGTGAGCGCGCACGTTAGCCGGTGGAGGATTATTTCTATATTTTTTCAGCACTGGATGTTTCACGGCATATCTTGAAGACTCGTGTTTTTTTTTTGGGACTGTGGTTATTTTTGGAACAGATTGACTATTTCACATCAATATATTATCATTATTTTGTTATGTTCACTTCAGTCATTAGCACTGTATAGCACACTGTGCTGCTTCTGTTGATACTTGTCATTCTCTGCACTTTCATGTTTCTTGTATATGTCGGTTTCACACTTGGATGGAGGGTCATATGTGCATTTATTCTCGGTTTCATCCACTATTGATGTTTATTGTTTATACACTGAGTAGCGCAGCACCAATTCACTTTATTTGTTTTCATGATTTTGGAATATAGTTAGGTGTTTGCAGCCACTTTGGGGGCCATTGCAGTTAGGTAGGTAGCGCAGGAGGACTGTCCTTATACAATTTTTAAGTCTTGCCACAGATTCTTAGTTGGATTTTGGTCTGGACTGTGACTGGGCCATTCTAACACATGAATATGCTTTAATCTAAACCATTCCATTGTAGCTCTGGCTGGATGTTTCGGGTCGTTGTCCTGCTGGAAGGTGAACCTCCGCCCTAGTATCAAAATCTTTTGCAGACTCTAACAGGTTTTCTTCTAAGCTTGCCCTGTATTTGGTTCCATCCATCTTCCTATCAACTCTGACCAGCTTCCCTGTCCCTGCTGAAGAAAAGCAAACCCACAACATGATGCTGCCACCACCATGTTTCACAGTGCGGATGGTGTGTTCAGGGTGATGTGCAGTGTTCGTTTTCCACCACACACAGCATTTTGCTTTTAGGCCAAAAAGTTAAATTTTGGTCTCATCTGACCAGAGCACCTTCTTCCACATGTTTGCTGTGTCCCCCACATGGCTTCTCACAAACTGCAAACAGGACTTCTTATGGCTTTCTATCAACAATGGCTTTCTTATTGCCACTCTTCCATAAAGGCCAGATTTGTGGAGTGCACGACTAATAGTTGTCCTGTGGATAGATTCTCCCACCTGAGCTGTGGATCTCTGCAGCTCCTCCAGTTACCATGGGCCTTTTGGTTGCTTCTCTGATTAATGCTCTCCTTGCCTGGCCTGTAAGTTTAGGTGGATGGCCATGTCTTGGTAGGTTTGCAGTTGTGCCATACTCTTTCCATTTTTTAGATGATGGATTGAACAGTGCTCCGTGAGATGTTCAAAGCTTGGGATATTTATTTATTTTTTTATATAAACCTAACTCTGCTTTAAACTTATCCACAACTTTATCCCTGACCTGTCTAGTGTGTTACTTGACCTTCATGATGCTGTTTGTGCACTAATGTTCTCTGACAAACCTCTGGGGGCTTCACCGAACAGCTGTAATTATACTGAGTAAATGAAACACAGGTGGACTCCATTTACTAATTAGGTGACTTCTAAGCAATTGGTTCCACTAGATTTTAGGTAGGGGTATCAAAAGGGGGCTGAATACAAATACACGCCACACTTTTCAGATATTTGTAAAACAATTTGAAAACCATTTTTCATTTTCCTTCCAGTTAACGAATATCTTCCACTTTCTGTCGGTCTATCACATAAAATTCCAATAAAATACATTCAAGTTTTTGGTTGTAACATGACAAATTGGAAAATTTCAAGGGATATGAATACTTTTTCAAGGCACTGTAGGCAGGTGCCTGTACTTCATACCTGTTGTGGAGTCTTTTAATGTGTTTTGAAAGCACAGCTATCCTTTAAGTGCTAAATGTGAAATGCTCACGCACAGCAGGCATTTTTTTCATAGGTGTATATGAAACATCATTCAAGTGTATTTTTTTTTTTCTTTAAAGGGTAAATACACATTTATAGTCTCCATTACCTAATACATAGATCTTCCCCTGGTGAACGGTGACTCCTAGTGCGCTTCTACGGTGTGTCATAGGCGCCACAAAACTCCAGGAGTTTTTCTCCACATCGTATTTCTCCACACTGTTCAGCTGGTCTCTACCATCGTAACCGCCCATGGCGTACATGCTGGTGTCGAGAGCACAGGCTCCTATAAATGTAAAACCAGTATTAGGTCTATAAGGTGATAAAAAACAAAAGATATCCACAAAACAAAATTGCAACCGACTGGCTGGTTGAACGGATTCTTCCACTTGCTGGAAAATCCACCTCTGCAGATGACGATTTTCAAGATATGTTATAAAAAGACCATTTGGAATACGTGGCAGTTGGGTTGTGAAAGCCTTCTACTGTTCAGACAAACAATCCATCAGGCTAAAACCACTACCACCAAACTATTCCAAAATACCAATTACTAGAATATGTTCAAATCATTTTCTATAAACCTTCCGAAAAAACGAACTTTGCCACGTAAGGGTCCAGCAGTATGGGATACCAGAGCAGTGCATTATTTTATGTAGTAATCATTTTTCATTCAAGTGGATCTAAAGGCAAAACAATTTTTTCTGATTTTGGATAGAGTAGAGGAGGGTTATAATCCCTATCAGCTTTTTATTTTTATTTTGCCCTCTGGCTATGGGATAGGACTTAAAAGGGATTTAAATCTCTGCAATGGGACACAAATGGGAATCCCTTGTTTCCACCAGGGTCAATAGAATTTGTAACCCCACTGGAGGATTTTCCCTCTATTCCTATTCTGGTGACAACCAGAGATCTCGAGAGAGATACCCAAGTTCTGGCGGAGACAGGAGGTGCTGAAAATAGAGGACTGGGTTGATCAAATATGTAAGATGGAGGAGCTTTACCATATAAATGAAGATAAGATGGGGACATATTATACAAGTTGGAATAAATGGGTGGAATTAAAAAATTCAAAAATTTAAATATAGAATGTATGGGGGAACAATATAAAATAATATGAGTACACCTCTTAATCCTTTCTGGGATCCACATCCTCCAAAGAGTAGAAAAAGAACGCAGAGTGGAGGGGGAGGGTGGTAGATAGGAGATGTGTGTGTGGGAGAGTAGAAATGGGTGATATGATTATTGTACTATAATTGTGTTAATGTTTTTAAAGAGAAAGTTTGTATAACTTATTCACTTAAACTAATATTTAAATTAAAAAAAAAAAAAAAAAAAAAAAGGAGGTTTTGACTTTATACTTTAAAAGTTCACTTGAAAATTTTAATTAATACACAATTTCAAGGTAGTATATCTCATGAAACTAGGGTTTTCCCGCCTACAGAAATGTGGTTTAACACCACCTGAATGTTTTTTTTTTTTTCTTTTAATAGACACCTGTTAGGAGGTCACAATTATTGCCAGTCAGAATCTATTGTCGTTTTAAAAAAGCAAGCTTGTGCTTTATCCATGAAGGGCAAAGCAACAGGTTCATAATAATGCTCCCCCCACCCTTCCCTAGCACTGCATACTCTCATTTAGGCAGGGCTGACACCATACAGCCCATAACAGGGGTTAGGAGTGGAGAGCATTCCTGGCAGGTCAGCAGGTATTATTCTGTACTTGCAGGGTACTTAAGGGGATAAAACTTGGCAAAATGTGCATGCATTGCAGAGATGTACTGCAAATGTTTTTTTGCCCTGACCTACACATTAAGGCCCCTTTCACATGGGGCAGGTTCTGTTTATATCAGCAGGGGATCTGTCCGCTGATCCCCAGATCAGATCAGAGCAGAGCTGGCGGATGACAGCTCCGTGTCTGCCTAATATCTGCTGAGTGCACACAGTCAGAGCCTGCTCTATTCTATGGGTGGCCAGGTGTAAAAGGACTTCACTGTCCATTTACATCCAACTGCCCTCCAATCCACTTACATGGAGGGGGATCCTTAGGTTTTTTTTAGCGGACCGGATCAGATTGGAGGTAGGTGGGTGTAAACAGACACAAATCCATTTACACCCTGTCAGGAATGGACTTGCCAATAGTGGTGGGACTCACCTGCCTTGTGGGCTGCAGTACCAGGGCTGGCCAGCGGGTGCTCTCAACAACCAGAGGCTCACTTCGGCAATTAGCCATCACCAGGGGCTGATTGCAGGTGGTGTATTTAAGGGATGGCCAGACCTGCAGTCAGTGCCTTGTTGTACTGTTTGCTTGGCCCTGGTTTCCTGATCCTGTTTCTGCCTGTCCTGACGCTGCCTGAACTCTGCCTGTACTGACCTCGGCTAGTCCTGACCACTCTCCCGCCTGCTCCTGGTACTCCGTTTGCCCATTTGCTATGACCCGGCCTGCCTGACTACTCTTGTAACGTATGTTTGTTATCTGTTGGAGGTTTGGTTCAGTTTGTTTGCACTGTGTTATGTTTAGTTTTGCACTGCGTTTGTATTGTTAGTCAATAAATTATATTATTTACTATATCTGAAACCTGCGTTTCCCTGTGTCAGTCCACACACTTCTGGTCCCTGACACACCCACCAGTCCAAAGGGGTAAATGGAGGTTCCACATGAAAAGCTTATAGGCAAACCCGATTGGATTCATGTGAAAGCCTCAGGAGGGACAAACGTATGATCCTTGTAAAATGTAAAATACAGCAATATAAACAAACATGCATGAGGTAAATTAAAACTATGCATGTGAGAAAACCCCCGGAAAATTGAAAACTGTTTTGGATTGATTTTTTTCCCTGCAAATACATGCATTATGTTCTAATGCAACTTTTTTTTGGAGGAACCCTTCAAATAACTTTCAGGTCTATTATGGCTACGACAGGTTATTTGTGTGAACAATAAGTTGTGGATAAAAGAATAAAATTAAGAAGGGGGCATACATAAAAGTTTCAATCCTCAAAAAGGTTTCTCTATAACAAAAAAAAAAAAAAACAAAAAACATTGTTTATAATTCTAATATAAGAAAATAAAATGCATAATAAAAAACAAATGACCAACAAAGAAACCCAGACCATGAAAATTGCAGTGCTTCCTTGGTGGTCAATGGAAGTGCCTCTTTGCATTGGTGGTCAGTGTATGACCGCTTACACTAGTAGCCATTGCAGTGCTTCCTTACTTTGGTAGTGAGAACTAGCCACTTACATTGGTGTTAGTACAGAGGTGCTCACTTGCATTGGTGGTAATGGGGAGTGGTCTTCTTACATTGGGGGGGGGTCAGTGAGAGAAGCTCGCTTCCATGGGGTGGGGGTGGGGGGGGTTCAGTGAGAGAAGCCCGCTTCCATGGGGTGGGGGGGGTTCAGTGAGAGAAGCCCGCTTCCATGGGGTGGGGGGGGGGGGTTCAGTGAGAGAAGCCCGCTTACATAGGGGGGGGGGGGGTTTAGTGAGAGAAGCCCGCTTACATGGGGGGGGGGGTTCAGTGAGAGAAGCCCGCTTACATGGGGGGGGGTTCAGTGAGAGAAGCCCGCTTACATGGGGGGGGTTCAGTGAGAGAAGCCCGCTTACATGGGGGGGGTTCAGTGAGAGAAGCCCGCTTACATGGGGGGGGTTCAGTGAGAGAAGCCCGCTTACATGGGGGGGTTCAGTGAGAGAAGCCCACTTACATGGGGGGGGGGGGGGGTCAGTGAGAGAAGCCCGCTTACGGGGGGGGGGGGGGGGGGGGGTTCAGTGAGAGAAGCCCGCTTACATGGGGGGTTCAGTGAGAGAAGCCCGCTTACATGGGGGGGGGGTTCAGTGAGAGAAGCCCGCTTACATGGGGGGGGGGGGTTCAGTGAGAGAAGCCCGCTTACATGGGGGGGGGGGGTTCAGTGAGAGAAGCCCGCTTACATGGGGGGGGGGGGTTCAGTGAGAGAAGCCCGCTTACATGGGGGGGTTCAATGAGAGAAGCCCGCTTACATGGGGGGGTTCAATGAGAGAAGCCCGCTTACATGGGGGGGTTCAGTGAGAGAAGCCCGCTTACATGGGGGGGTTCAGTGAGAGAAGCCCGCTTACATGGGGGGGGTTCAGTGAGAGAAGCCCGCTTACATGGGGGGGTTCAGTGAGAGAAGCCCGCTTACATGGGGGGGTTCAGTGAGAGAAGCCCGCTTACATGGGGGGGGGTCAGTGAGAGAAGCCCGCTTACATGGGGGGGGGGGGGTCAGTGAGAGAAGCCCGCTTACATGGGGGGGGGTCAGTGAGAGAAGCCCGCTTACATGGGGGGTCAGTGAGAGAAGCCCGCTTACATGGGGGGTCAGTGAGAGAAGCCCGCTTACATGGGGGGTCAGCGAGAGAAGCCCGCTTACATGGGGGGTCAGTGAGAGAAGCCCGCTTACATGGGGGGTCAGTGAGAGAAGCCCGCTTACATGGGGGGGGGGGGGGTCACAGTAAGAGAAGCCTGCTTACATGGGGGGGTCACAGTAAGAGAAGCCCGCTTACATGGGGGGGGGTCACAGTAAGAGAAGATCTCCTTTACAGGTTGTTGACAGGTCGCTGGCGTCAGTTGTAACTTACCTGGGAGGCAGAAATTGCTCAAGGAACCCCTAATAACCTTTGGAGGAGCCCTAGGGTCCATGTAATTGTGGCTGAGAAATGCTGCCCTAATGTATTGACCCAAACATGATTTTACAACTTGTTCATGCCAGCAAGCACCAATCTTTCCCTCATCAATTGGGAATCTGGACGACATTACTGAGATCTTACCTGCACCACTACGTACAACATTCATAGATGCAATATCCCGCCACTCATCCGTCTCGGGATAATAGCACTCTGCTGAGTTCAGTCTATTCGTCCCATCAAAGCCACCAACTGCATAGAGGAGGCGGTTGAGCACTGCCACACCTACTCCAATCCGACGTGTCCTCATTGGAGCTACGAGCTGCCACTCATCCCTCTCAGGGTCATACCTGGGGTAAGAAAAAAAAAAAGAAAAGAAAGCTTTTGTGAAACATGTCCAGGAACATAGCAACAGGATGGAAAGTCTTAGAAGTCAGGAAGGCAAAGAAACATTCAACAAGAATAAAACCAAAGCTGGTATCTTACAGATGTAGCCGTCATCTGTTACTGCTTCAATGACAGTTCATTTCTGTCATGCCAAGTGTATGCACAGCCAGAACCTTTAGTCTTGGATAGAGTGGGGAAGGGTTAAGATGTCTTTACTTATTTGCTGTCGTCTGGGTCACTTTCTGTCCCGGAGATGCAACAGAAATTGAGATGAAATCTCTACAAAACTGGGTAAATCCATGGGCATAGCTCACACTATTGCAGTGCAGGAAAAAAATAAAAAATAAAAGTACAGCAAGCTGCATTTTTTCGGCACTGCAAGTGCAAGTGCACAGAAATCCATGCAATACAGTGTATTGCGCATAAAAGCCCAAAGAAGACAAAAGTGACCTCAAAAAGGAAATGCAGGGCCCTTCGCTGTCAGAAATACAGGTGTTCCATTTGGAAGAATTTCCCTGTTCCTGTTCAGGTGACAGCTTTTATATTTTTTTTATGCTTCCCATCACTTTTAATTCTCAGGGGTTACCAGGACAAATAGAATGATGAAAAGCCCTAGCACAGGCACAGAAGTAATAAAACACCTAAAGTCCACCTGTGTGTAGCCAAACCATGCCAGGCCAAAAATTACCAGTACATATAATGTCCCACGTCTGTGGCTTTTTAAATTGCAATTAGTGTCAGTGTATAAATTGTCAATGAGTTTGTTAGCTTATGTGAAAGCACTGTCTAGGCTAGATACTGAGCCATGGGGATCAGAAACGAACTGTCAAAAGTCCTGCGTAGCAAGGTAATGGCTGCAATCTTTCTTGGTCTACCTGACCTTGGCTTGGTATCAAGACATCCCCGAACTTTCCACTTCTTAATAGGTGATTGAACAGTACTGATTGGCATATTCAAGGCTTTGGATATATTTTTTATGTCCTTTTCCATCTTTATAAAGTTCCATTACCTTGTTATGCAGTACATTTGACAGTTCTTTTCTCATCCCCCATTACTCAGCCTAGTTAGTACTTCCACGTAAGAGCTAACAAACTCATTGACTATTTATACACTGACACTAATTGCAATTTAAAAGCCACAGATGTGGGACATTAACCTCTAATTGGCATTTTAACCCGCGTGTGTCACCTTGTGTGTCTGTACCAAGGCCAAACATTCCAGGGGGGGGGGGGGGGGGGGGGGGGGGGGGGGGGGGGGGGGGGGGGGGGGGGGGGGGGGGGGGGGGGGGGGGGGGGGGGGGGGGGGGGGGGGGGGGGGGGGGGGGGGGGGGGATCATGGCCATTTGGGTGATTTCTGTTATCTTTATGAATTAAAAAGGAGCAAAACAACTATTTGATAATAATTGGCTTCATATGATCATCATCCTTCAATAAAAAGAGCATTTTTTGGCACGATCAGTCATATTTTCAATATCAAAATTTCACAATTTCTGCCAGGGTATGCAAACTTTTGAGCACAAATGTATATATATATATATTTTCATTCAACACTGCGCACAGACACAGGCGGGGGATCCTGTGTGTATGTATATCCATCTCTCTACCCATCACGGTTTCCAGTACTCACACCTAGTATCAGGTGAAGCTTCATGACCGGAAGGTCAGGCAGCCGGAGGTAGGGCGCCAGGTTGCCATGGCAACTAGAAATGGAGTCCTAGCGCCTGGCCTTTAGTGAGCCATTCGCTGTCAGGCACCGGGATGCTGCTTCACTGATCCAGGGATTTGAAACCTCCCTATCCGTACTTCACAGCATACGGACAAGAGGCATTGTAATCAGAATCAGTCTAGCCTGTCCTGCCAGTGTTGGGAGGAGAGAAAGCTGCAAAGATTTAATATCCCCGGACCAGTGAAGCAGGGGATCATGGGACACTGGTACAGTGGGATCAGGGGGGGAATGAGGTCTAATGTAATTATTCTTTTCTTCTTCTCGCAGTTCCCGGTGTCGGGCAGCCAATTTAGTAAACTGGCTCCTAACTTTTTTAGCTGGCTCCTAGATTAAAATTACATTTGCCATGCCCTGCTGACCCAAGTCATGGTCAGCAGGCAACACTAATTGATTGAAGATAGAAGTTCCATGTGGCTCAGTGCAGCAGCAGGGAAGATGCTTCCTCGATGCTGTATGGCACAGGCGTGCGACACCCAACAGAATGATGCCAGCACTTTATCCCACAGCAAAGTCAGAGGAAAATGGGGAATAATGGCACCCAGCGACCAGTAAAACTGAGGGATCTCCCGATGCTTCGTATGAATGGCCCAATTACTAAGTGACCCTTCAGAGACAAGGCAAGTGCGGAGGCAATGCCGGTGACTTCCAGGGACATGGAAAGCACTCTGCCGCTATCTTAACCAGAGGAGTCAATGAGAAGCCCAGTGCCCTCCAGGTTCACCCCGCAATGACCAGTTCACCAGGATCTGACAGTCCAGTCCTAACTCCAGGCTGAGATAACTGAGAAACTGACATTAACAGCAGAGCTGAAGAAAAGACATCTGTCCTCCGAAGACAGACATGCTGGTTATACAGGTTGTTGTTCGTCAGTGTGCAATACTTTGGTAGGTGGCTGTATAACCCAAAAGGTTTAAGATGTTCTGCGTCCCTCAATGGGCAAGAAAGCAAAAGTATTTAGGAGGAGATATCTGGACTGAGGGTCAGTATTGCAGCAAAAGCTGGAATTCAAGTTTAATCTGCAAGTTTCTAATCTTTGATGGTCACGTCAGCCCCATGGCCAATCCAGTTAATCATTATTCTGTTCTGGCATTCCCAAACATTAACAAGACAGGCTGTGCCAGGGAAAAATGTGGGAGACTAAAGTGCAAAGGGCACAATGACATCGCTTACTCATCTGGTGTCATCTGCCAGGGAAAAAAAAAAAAAAAAAAAAAAGTTGCTGAATAACAACTTGTGCCAAAAAGAACATCTACCCATCTTCTGCGCTCTTAAAAAGGAGAACCATAATAGTTTATAATACTCATACATTTTTTTCCCCAGATTCCCAGAGCACCGAGGGTCATCTAAAGAGACAGCACAGCCTATTTAATAGCTTTGCTGGCACCTGGCATTGCACTGTGCCATGGGTCAGTCAGTCTTGTGTTTAAACTCCAGCTACAGAGCAATGAAAAAAGTAAGGGATTTACAGCAATGAAATGGAGACGGCTTTTCACTTAAAGGGGGATAAAAAAAAAAAAAAACTTAAAAGTGGAGCTCCACCCAAAAGGGGAAGTTCCGCTTTAAGGACTGCTACCCCGCTCCCCATTAAGGATTGGCACCTTTGGGGGGTGCGGGTTACCGAATTTGACAGGTACCCGCTCCCACTTCAGGTCCGATCGCCTAGGTGACTGGAAGCTGTCCTCCCTCCCTGTAGTCTTTTGGGACACACGACAGGTCCCAAAAGACTACAGGACCATTCATGAAGCGCAGCGCTACTCGCGCATGCTCAGAGGGCACCCGGCTGTGAAGCCGCAAGCTATCACAGCCGGGTGCCCACACTGAAGATGCCAGCGCCTGGAACACAGGATGGCCGATGAAACGGGCTGCAGGGGACACACCACGGGACCGGTGTGTTTTTGTAGCTGCTGACTTATTTTTTGACAGGGTGAGTGTAACTCCGCTTTAAATTAAAATTGTTTACCATTTACTGGCCAAAAAAAAAAAATAAATTATATTATATATATATAATATTAGTATTAGAGATGAGCGAATTATTCAAAAAATTCGATTCGGCTGATTCGCCGAATTTGCGGCAGAAATTCGATTCGATGCAAATTTATTCGCCGCGAATTTAACTTATTAAAAGGGTTTCTAGGCTTCAGAGAGCCTTTATATTAGTGCAGAACACTGTACCTTTAATTTAAATGCCCTTGGAGTCTGCTGGGGAAGAGAAATAATACTGTCAGTCAGTATGACATGCAGATGAGTGCCGTCGATCTTAGAATCACCGCACACTTCACTCATTTGGGCAGTCACGGGGCACGACGAAGAAGATGAAGATGATGAAGATGATGAAGAAGATGAAGATGATGAAGAAGATGAAGAAGAAGAAGAAGAAGAAGAAGAATGAAAAGAAGAAGAATGAAAAGATGAAAAGAAGAAGAAGAAGAAGAAGAAGAATGAAAAGATGAAAAGAAGAAGAAGAAGAAGAAGAAGGATGAGGATGAAGAAGAAGTAGGATGAGGATGAAGAAGAAGAAGAAGAAGAAGAAGAGGAAGTAGGATGAAGAAGAAGAAGAAGAAGGATGAGGATGAAGAAGAAGAAGGATGAGGATGAAGAAGGATGAAGAAGAAGAAGGATGAAGAAGAAGAAGAAGAAGAAGAAGGATGAGGATGAAGAAGAAGAAGAAGGATGAAGAAGAAGAAGAAGAAGAAGGATGAGGATGAAGAAGAAGAAGAAGGATGAGGATGAAGAAGAAGAAGAAGGATGAGGATGAAGAAGAAGAAGAAGGATGAGGATGAAGAAGAAGAAGAAGGATGAGGATGAAGAAGAAGAAGAAGGATGAGGATGAAGAAGAAGAAGGATGAGGATGAAGAAGAAGAAGAAGGATGAGGATGAAGAAGAAGAAGAAGAAGAAGGATGAGGATGAAGAAGAAGAAGAAGGATGAGGATGAAGAAGAAGAAGAAGGATGAGGATGAAGAAGAAGAAGAAGGATGAGGATGAAGAAGAAGAAGAAGGATGAGGATGAAGAAGAAGAAGTAGGATGAGGATGAAGAAGAAGAAGAAGTAGGATGAGGATGAAGAAGAATTCCATTCCAGCAAAAAGTGTATCTGCAGAGAGCTCCGCTATTTCTGACAGTTCTATGACAGTTCCTTCACATTTACAGCGGTTGAAACATTGTATCTATTTGTTTCCGATTAAAAACATCTGTATCCTAAATGGAAACAAATAGATACAATGTTTCAACCGCTGTAAATGTGAAGGAACTGTCAGAGAACTGTCAGAAATAGCGGAGCTCTCTGCAGGGACACTTTTTGCCGGCTGTAGAAGGGATGAAAATCGGCCGATCGGGAAAAATTCGATTCGCGCATCTGAAGTTTGCTAATATTCGGATTCGATGCGAATCAAATTTTTTCCTAAAATTCGAAACGAATTCCACTTCGCCAAGTTCGATTCGCTCATCTCTAATTAGTATGTATGTATAAAAAAACACACCATACCTAAAAAATATGTACAAAACTACCATGCATTCCCTTTAAACACAAACAGCAGCAGACCCTGGCTGAAGAAACCATCACTGTGCATTTCCATGGGGCGAGTCATGTGATCTGTTCTGGAGTTTATTCACCCATTCAGCAGAAATCACTCTGCTTTCTCCTGCAGCATGTTTCCGGTCAGCAAATGTGCTGTTGCAGTGTTCAATTGGTCCTTAGCCTGACTGCTACTGTACAAGTGGTTGTAGGAGGCCGATATAGAGAGATAGAGATATATATGAAAAAAAAAGTTAAAAAACGAGGGGCGTTCAAGTCCAAGCAAACTTTTAATTTTACAGGTATAAAAGGGATGCTAGCGTGGCGATACTACACAAGTGTGTCCTATTACTGATAGGCGGTGCACATGTTGCGGGCCAGTCCAGAGACTGTCGATCGACATGGCAGACAACAGTTTTGGTGTGTACATGAAACTGTGTGTGGTGATGAAGTTTCTTGTGAATGAAGGCGTAAAACCCGCTGATATCTACAAAAAGCTTTCAAGCACAGTACGGTGATGAGATGCTCAGCCACAGTGAGACATTAAAAGGTGTAAACGTTTCAAAGATAGTCGTACATCCGTCAGAGATAATCTCAGCCGTGGTGGTTCTCAGCCCACAGCAGTCATTCCTGTGAACATTCAGCGTGTAGAATGCCTGATCCTGGATAACCAACACCTGTCGTGAAATTGCACAAGAGACTAATCTATCTGTGGGAACTGAACACAACCATTCATGAAGTGAAGCCGGCTATCCTAGGATGGTTCAGGTGTACGAACACATCTTTCTATGCCGAAGCTTTCCAGGCATTAGGTAAATGCTGGGAAAAGTGCATAAATCTAGCAGGGGAGTATGTAGAAAAATAAATTCAGTTTCCACTCCTTAAAATTGGTTCTTTTATTATATTAACTCAAAAGTCCCAGTTTGACTTGGAACTCCCCTCGTAGACCTGAGGAGTTGTCACAGGCACACATCAAGAGTGCCCAACTATGCCTGCCCTCCATTCATAGAAACCGTACTACAGTTTCTATGAATGAATCGCGATCTATGAATGGAGGATGGGCAGATGATTGAAAGGTCTGCCCACTCCATTCATAGAAGCAGTAGTACCTCTGAATGGAGCAGATGTATGGAAAGCAGGGGTGGACTGACCATTCGAACACTCAGGCACTGCCCGAGGGCCCGGGGTCAGTTGGGGGCCCCATGAAATGCCCCTAGTACCTTTTTTATAGGCTTTTTTGAGTTTTTGGGCAAAAAACCATGATCCTCTATTTCCCAGGGGCCCCATGAATTGTCAGTCCGCCCCTGATGGAAAGGCGGGCATAGTTGGGCACTTTTGATGTGTTCCTGTGACAGCTCCTCAGTTCTATTAACTCTTGCCACACCAGAAGATTACAGAGGTGGGGAGGCATCAAAATAGAAAGATTACTATGGCACATCACACTGGAGGCAAGCATTTTCCCTTGTGATTTAGTATTTTTTGGATCTTGAATTCAGATTTGTATTTACAGTACAGCTGTATAACTGGAGATCAAAAACTAAAGAGTAGAAAAATAGTTTACATAGCTTCTCTCTTAAGTCTACATAAAGCCCAATTCTACACATTGGCAGGAATATCAAGCAGTGATCAAGAACAAGAACACGTAAAACATTTACCCCCCGGTTCACATCTGTGCGGGTGGTGCCGCTGTGGATCCGCACGAAAATCCGTGCAGCCGCACCACCCACACAGAGGAATGCGGACCCGCGGGTGGGTGCCATTAGTTCTAATGGCATGCCACCCGCACTGGAAAACACAACTGTACTGGGAACCGATGTTCCCATGTGGGCTGCGTTTTCCAAAGAAGTGCAGGGACTTCTTCCCTGCGTGTCCCGGGCACACGAGTCCATTCAAATGAACAGGCTCTTGTGCCTATGCAAAATTCAGCCTGCACATATGAACCGGGGGTGAGAGTTAGGATGCATGGGCATTTATACCACCGATTTGGCTGTACCCAGCAGCAGGCGTGCTGTTCGGGTTTTTAGTGAAAGGAAAAACAAACAAACACAAAACACAGCTTTAGGAAGAACGTTCTGACTCCTGCTGAACAGAAGGTAGCCATATACAGATGGTGTCCATGAACCAATATCCTTAATGCACCCACCTCTCCACGCTGTTATGATGATGACACCCGTGAGATCCTCCCACTGCATAAAATCTGTCCATCAATAACTCCAGCGCCCACCCTGTTCCTGGGCACGCTCATTGATGCACACGGAGACCACTGGTTGTTCATGGGATTGTAGCAGTCCAGGGCATTGGAGTCCTCATTGCAGTCAGGAGCGTTGTTGCGGCCTCCAACTGCATAAAAGAGTCCCCCAAGCACACACCCAGCTAAGCCACTCCGGGGCATCTCTAGAGGAGCTAGGCTGAGCCACTCGCCTTCCATGGGGTTGTAGGCCTCCAGAAAGTTAAGTGACTGCCTGAAGTAACCCCCTCCCACATAGATGAATTGGGGAACATTAGGGATCCTTCCCTGAGCAGGTCCAGTGGGTTTGTGCAGGGTCAGGTCTTGGAAGATCTGGGACAGGTAGTCCTGGCAGCGGGTATCTCCTCGTAAGATCTCACAGCGCTGGAGCTGGAGCTGCAAGAAGTTGGGGGTAAGTGAATGGCAGCGAACGGCACGCAGCAACGCCTGGATGTAGGGTCGCCGGTTCTCACAGTCATACTTGACCCAGTTGATACAAGCGTGGAAGACCTCAGACTCACAGCGCACATTCAAGTCATCACGACTAATCATGTTCACCAGCTGACAGCGGGACAAGTTGAAAAATTCCTCCTGTTTGGATACCTGTAAAATAAGTGAAAGTGTGAGGAGATGAACTCACTATGTGCATGATCTATGTCTTGTTTAAACTTTTCAGCATGGGTGCAAAACATTGTTTCTCATCTGATAACTTTCTTTTGACAGATGTCCATACAAGGACAAATACCTAGATGTTGACCTGCTTCGGAAAATGCAAATATCCATGCTAATAATCTAGTTTCAATACTTTACTCACGTCACACGTTTCAGGGTCTGTGATTCATGATTACAATCCAGATCCACTTACTTGGTACTGGTCAGCATCATATCAAAATGTTTAGCAGATCAAGTACAGCTGTCCTTGAAAGTGGACCTTTACCTCCTATCACTGCTTGCTGATATTAAATCATCACATTCACTAAATATTTTTTTTTTTTGTTAACTTACAATTGTTTTTTCACTTCCTGGTTGACTGAGGCTCTGGTGATTTAGTCCTGGTTCACACTGAATGTGATTTGGTCACATTTAAAAGTCGCACTGATATAGACACAGGCATGATTTAGGTTCCATTTAACGCATAGTCTATGAGAGTTACATTGCCCTGAAGTGCTCAAAAAGTAACGGAGGAACTTTTTTCAAATCGCATCTATTAAGACATACATTAGATGGAACATCAGGTTTGTTTTGTAAATGGTGTGTCGCACCTAAAGTCGCAGCCATGTGAACCAGGGCCTCACAGCTGCATCTGTCACATGTTCCACACCCAGAGATCTAGGCGGAGTTCCAGCCAGTAAAAGGAGAAGGATTCGTGTGCCCTTCATAGAAAATGGACCCCCGCGAGAAGAATAGGGAAAAAAGTAAAAATGAGGTATGCAAAAAACAAAGATCACAAGTACCCGTTTGTAGATTACCATTACTAAATACTTCCAAAGTAACATTTTTCATAGTTTTTATAAGGCTGAAGTTCCTCATTAAGAAAACCCCACATTAAACCCTTGCCTTCCTCCCCCATCCTGCAATATTCACTAAGTAGTACTGCCTGGTGCCACATAGAAAACATCCTGGCAGGGTCCTCTTACTACTGCACCCTTGTGCCTTAGCCCCAATAATTCAGGGAACATACCTAGTGTGCAGCACTGATCCCTCTCCCCTCAAGTCCATCCCAGGCACTTGTGTGTGATATCACAGAAGATGGAGGAGTGAGAAGGGGGCAGGGATTACACACCAGAGGAGCGAGTGATAGTATGTAGGTAGCGCTTCCCTATTCTACATGCGAGGGACGTTTCTGCTGTGACAACTGTAAACACAAATCCCTGCCCTGCTGAGCCCATCCACTGCCCTAGTGACCCCATCCACCACCATACTGACCTCTGCACTTCTGACCCCTGTACTCTGCCCTCATACTGACCTCTGCCCCGCATCCCGCCGACCTCGCCGCTACTCTGCCCCGCAGCCCGCCGACCTCGCCGCCCGCTACTCTGCCCCGCAGCCCGCCGACCTCGCCGCTACTCTGCCCCGCAGCCCGCCGACCTCGCCGCTACTCTGCCCCGCAGCCCGCCGACCTCGCCGCTACTCTGCCCCGCAGCCCGCCGACCTCCGCGCTACTCTGCCCCGCAGCCCGCCGACCTCCGCGCTACTCTGCCCCGCAGCCCGCCGACCTCCGCGCTACTCTGCCCCGCAGCCCGCCGACCTCCGCGCTACTCTGCCCCGCAGCCCGCCGACCTCCGCGCTACTCTGCCCCGCAGCCCGCCGACCTCCGCGCTACTCTGCCCCGCATCCAGCACTGCTCTCCCGCATCCCGCTGACCTCCGTACTACTCTGTCCCGCATCCCGCTGACCTCCGTACTACTCTGTCCCGCATCCCGCTGACCTCCGTACTACTCTGTCCCGCATCCCGCTGACCTGCGTACTACTCTGTCCCGCATCCCGCTGACCTCCGTACTACTCTGTCCCGCATCCCGCTGACCTCTGCCTCGTATCCTACTGACCTCTGTACACTGCCCTACATCCTACAGCCAGGCTAGCACTTAGGTCAGAAACTAGTTAAGGTCGGCCTGCAGTAGCACCTTTTCTGCCTTCATGATGGACTGTTAAAAGCAAAATGCAGAGTTTTTCACAGAAGCAAAAATTTTAAAAGGTAGGCTAGGTTTGTTTTCTTAATGCCATCATTACTATTTATTGGGGTTCGTTTTCTTAATGCCATCATTACTATTTATTGGGGTCTGCTAGCAAATTTAATTTTCTTTTATACATTTACAAAAAAAAAAAAAAAAAAAAATATATATATATATATATATATATATATATATATATATATATATAAAAATCCGAACCCCATAGATCTTTGCTTTATTTTATTTAGATAGCTCCCCACCTCTCAAAGGCTGCCTACTCCTGCTCTAACTGCTACATCTGTAGGACAGCATGTTCTGTGGAAAAATAAACAGACTTACTGGCCAAATCACTAGCTGAAAGTAAGGGAAAGAAAGCCTTCAGAAGAAAACTAATTCAGCTGCCATATCTAAGAATTGGTAAGCTGCAGTATAATAAATGTTTGTTTTTGGATTTATTACCGATTTAATGCACCGGAGTGTTGACAGGGTACGCAGAAGTACAAATTCGGAGTTGTACTTTAAAGATAAACGCACATAGTTATAAATCATACGAGTGTGTGGGGGAATGTCTACATTTTCTTTTGGAGTGAGAAGGTGAAGCACATGACTGCTCAGTACAACACCATCCTAGGCCATACTGGAGCCTCTCTACATTTCAAGCTACTTATTAATGCAGGTAACCTACAACTAACTAGACAAAGGATTAATTGTTCATAGAAGAGATCAATACACTAGCAAAACAGCAGAAAGAAAGCACCGTACATAAGCAAAAGAGTGTGCCATGTAATAGATAGAAGCACAGGAGAAAATTCCGGTTTCATGTTACAGATTGCTAAAAACAAGTCACCTGAATCCCTCCACCTGTTCTTGGAAAGAAAGGAAAGAATACAACTAACAGAGAGCAGAGCACACAAATCCTGGGAAATCTCCATGTAATCCGTTCCTGCCTGAGATCCTTTACAGTGTGGCTGGATGGTCTATGACAAGAGGGTTTTTATGCTGGGTTCACACTGATGCGGTCTGGAATTCGCAGCGTTTTCAGTGTGAATTCTGCACCGCATCAGAATCGCACCCCATTCATGTGAACCAATGCAGGTGTGTATGTTAAGTTAACAACACCCCGAATCGGTCCGCAAAACGCGGTGCAATGTGCAGAATCGGATCGCATAGGTGAGAATACCCATGTGATCCGATTCTAGTGCGAACCCAAAAAAGGGTCCTGCACCTTCTTGGTGCGCTGCGATTTGTGCCATACATAATGTATGGAAAGAAGAAAAAAAAACAGCCGAATGCATGCGCTCCTGCGCTGGACAGTGGACTCCGCAATGTCAATATCCCCATGAGTAAGAAACAAATGCAAGCCTTGCTGCCCTCAACGGACCAGGGAAATCCAAAGAGAAATGTATATAGGAAACAAAAAGGGCGCACGGACCTAGTGCATTACCTTTAAAAATGAGATTTAATTTATAAATAGTAAAAATACTCACAAGAGAAATAAAATCAAATGGAAAGCATGTCACAAAAGGATGAAATGTGGTCCAAAAACCCCTGAAGGTGGTCTGGTGGGGGACTGTAGACCTCTAGCTAGCTGGTTTCTGCCACGTTTCGAGGTTGTACCTCTTCCTCAGAGCCCTATAAACAATACATAATGTATGGCTCCAATCGCACACAAATCGCATGCGATTTGCACAGGAATGAGGTGCGGTGCGGTTCCTTTGTGAATCACATGCGATATACCGCACAGCATTAGTGTGAACCTAGCCTTACTGATGCTCCTACCAGGGAGGAGAAAATGCTTTGCTGTGTTGACATTAGGGATGTACTTCTCCAATTTTTTTTTACTGGATAAAGGGTTCTGTAAGGCTGGTTCACAATTTTTGAGCAAATTTTAATGCATGCCTATAACATGCGTTGTACAAGCATTCTAGGGGACACACATGCCATCCAAAGCATTATGGGTGCGCCATGTGAACAGCCTCTTCTGGTTGTATCATAGGCTCTAGGACAGCAGTTTGGGGGGGGGGAACCTAGGCTCGACCACCCCCTTTTTTTTTTCTACACAACCCTGGCCGAGTGTGTGAAAGATCCCCTAACAGCAAACCTGATGCACCACAGAGAAAACATATGCGGAGTTGTGATGTGCTCACTAAAAATGGGTTAGGTGCAATAAGCCTCAAGGCAGACCTACTACCCCCCCCCCCCCCCAACTGCTTAATAAAACTGACCCCGTTATTAAAGTTTAATAAACTGACTTTTTGATTGAGGAAACAGGGGCAGACTGACCATTTGTAAACTCGGGCACTGCCCGAGGGCCCGGGGTCAGTAGGGGGCCCCATGAGATGCCCCCGATACCTTTTTCATAGGCTTTTTGGAGTTTGGGTAAGGACACAGGGGCCCCATGATCCCCTATTGCCCAGGGGCCCCATGAGTTGTCAGTCTGCCCCTGTGAGGAAATCTCTGTAGCAAAACCAGCAAGTTGTCTACAGTTACCTGTCTCTTTGTTGCCAGTCTTAGTGCTAAGCCTCCCCCCCCCATGGTTCACAAACCCACAGTATGCCGCCTAAAAACAAAACAAAAAACAAACAAAAAAAAAAACAACATAAAAACTACTTTTTCCTTCATCTCCACCAGCCCACGATGACGTCTGTGTGGGACCATACACAGAATTTACATCCTTCACATAGTCCTGAATGGAGCCTTACTTACTGCTCAGTCATCACAGACATTTCTGAATGGAGGCTGTAACAACTGCAGGAGGCCACCGCTGTTGGAAAAAGGTAAGTGGGAACCTGGGTGGGGGACTTTATAACCGAGTAGGGTAGGGGGTTTGGAGTGATTGCTGGGACTTATTTAAACCCAAACTTGGCCCCTAAAGTATATGTCAAGTGCATATCAAGCCAAACAACTCTTTTCAAGTTTCGGATGGAGCGGGGAAGGATTGGAACATCTGTTGAGTTTTTATTGCCATTTTGGGCTACGTTGGATAGATTTCCCCTCACATCCTATTTTGTTCACAACGTTTTCACCATACAGGAGGCATGGGAAAATCTGCAACAGGGACACAGACAAAAATAAAAATCTAACAGGGGTCCACACCTATTCCTTCTCTACAACAGGAAGTGAGAGTTAAAAAAAAAAAAAAAAAAATTTGAGGAAAGTGAATAAAAATTCTAATACTTCCCAACTCTATCCAAAAAAAAAGTTTTTGGCTTGAGATGCACTTTATAGGCTTCATTTGAATTCTTTTAAAGTTCAAAATGTAATGCAAGTTTTTTTCATTTCTTCTCCTCATGGTACTTTTTAAAACCCTCGTCTTCAGGTGTAGTTATTCCTAGCATCTAATTTATTTTCAGTTTTCAGTGATGGTTTTATGTCCTAGTATACTGGTTTATATTTTTTTTTACTTTACTTCATTTGTTTCTATTTTATGCTACTGCCTGCTTACACTTGGGACTGCTACCCTACCTCATGTACATATATTTTAGAATACTTTTTAGTATTTGGTCATCCAAATGAAAAAAAAAATGTTTTGGAAAGAACACTTTACAGCAGTGGCAGTCAACCTCACCAGTCTAGCTGTTTTGGAACTACAAGTCCCATGAGGCACGTGAGACTGACAGCCACAGGCATGATGGGATTTATAGTGTCACCACAGTTGGAGTGTCAAGGTTGCCTACCTATCCTACAAAATCATCCTTCACTGAGAGGAACCCTTAACCACATCAAGTCCGGACACTTTTACCCCCTTCCTGTCCAGGCCAATTTTCAGCTTTCAGCGCCATCACACTTTGAATAACAATTGTGTGGTCATGCAACCCATATGTACCCATATGAATTTTTTAGCATTTTTTTGAGACAGATCAAGCTTTATTTTGGTCGTATTTATTCACCACTGGGGTTTTTATTTTTTTGCTATGTAAATGAAAAAGTCCCAAAATTTTTTAAAAATAAAGTGTTTATCAAATTTTGCAAATAAATATTTCATCATAAATCTTGGCCAAAATGTATTTCATTATCTTTTTACTTAAAAAAAAAATAAAAAAAATATAAATAACCCAAATTAGTTTATAACCAAAAATTATAATTTTTGAACTTTTTTTTACATTTTTGTTTATATTATTTATGTTTGTCTTTTTTTTTTTTTTTTACATACTGTCACCCTAGCAGTACAGTGTCACCATGGTGACAATGTACTACTTGTGGGGGGGGGGGGGGGTGATGATTTTTTTTTTTCTTTTTACACCGATTGCTTTTACACCCATATAGGCTGTAAAGCAATCATTTCTCCTTCTCTCTGGCTGCATTCTTACAGCCATTGAGAACTACTGAGTGAGCTGTGATTGGTCACAGCTTGTCACATGGTACAAGGCTGTTGTGAATAGCCTTGTACCATGTGACCTCTGTGATCATTCACAGATTTCACACATAGTAAGCAGAGTGGATAAAAATCAACGATTTAAAAAAAAAAAAAAAAAAAAAAAAATCAGATTTTTTTTATTTAAAAATCTGATTTTTTTTATTTAAAATCTGATTTTTTTAAATAAAATGCTTTTTGAGGAAAATATATTACCATCCAAAGGTTATTCCATCATGAAATAAAGATTAGTTTTTTAATTATGTAGAATAAGGCTGTAGATGTTTAATTTTTTTGGTAAATAAATTCCATGAATCCATTCACAATGTCATGCTCTTCCAGAGGTTTTTGTAAGATTATTGGGCAGTTTCTCTGCCTACAAGATATTATCACAGATTGGTTTACTTTTGCAGTTCTCAAAACTGAATTTGACTCAGCGGAGATCACATGCCTCTTCTTCACAGCAAAAATGTTATAACATGAACAGAGTTAAGAAAAAGACCTTCATCCTAACTTCTAAACCTATGAATACAGAATCAACCCCTTCAGTGCTAAGTTTCAAGAAGTTCAGTGAATAGAATAGAAACAATATTTTTCTGATTGTTTGGAGTGGAATAGATCTGCACAAGAAGAAAGTGAAACTAAGTGTGAGGAGGAAGGGGCTGACAGTCTAAGTTTCTTAAAATATATATTTTGTTTAGCCAAATTAGTTAACAAACATGGATGTTTAAGCAAATCACATATGCTGGAATGTTATTGTTTCAGTTGAATAAATCTATTTAAATTGTTATTAAGGTAATGATTATTTTTCTCCTTCCTAAGTACAACAGAAAAGTTGTCCAAATATGAATGATTAACCTATTAAACTGGGGATAAAAAAACTAATATGAAAAGTTATTCTAAAAATCTTCATCTACTTGCATATTAAAGTTATACCAGCAAGAAGTAGTCTTTATGTAGAAAACTAGGATTTAAATCAAGCCTGACTAGTGATTTAAATCAGTTTGATTTAAATCAAATCCACCCTGGTAGTAAGCAATGTCAGAAGTGACATCTTGCTTACTACTCTGCATGTGATCACTGATTGGCCAATCAGTGATCACATGATCGGGACCTCGCAGAGAGGTCCCATACGACGGTCGGTGTTCCATTGTGTCTGGAGGACACAGTGGGCACCGGATCACGGTGCTGGGCGCTCCCAGGGAGCGTGCACAAGCAGAGGGTGGGGAAGCCTTTTATAAACGGCCACCCAACCCTGAACTGCTCCCCTCTGGCCGTTTATATACAAACGGGAGGTGGTTAACCTAAAGCTCAGGTTCAAATGATGGCATCATGGAAAATACTAGCTTGGAGATAACAGTGGAAACAATAACATGAGAAAATCTCATGAAATGAAACTGACAAGCCATTTAATACATGAAATAAGTGCTGAAAAAAACCCCTCTGCACCGAAACAAACAATCCATATATCGGACACCATAAAGACTGTTGCATCTGTAACTTTATCCTGGATAAAACTTTCAACCTCACCTCGCCAAAGTGCATGTATATATACTCCCGGGCCTTCTGGTGAAGCTCCTGACACCCAATTTGCTCAGCAAAACTGGCAATGCCAATGGCATTACTGGGGTCCAGTTGCTGGATCAGAAAGTCACAGCATGCTTTAACCACGCTGTCCATCTGATACATCACAGCTCCATTCATGACGTGGATGACGCACTTTTCCCCCACAGAGATACTGGCTGTGTAGGCAAACTCCAACAATCGCTGCATGACTTTGGGGTGAATTCCTTCAATCGAGACCATTTCCATACCACATTCCCGGAGGCCATTGGTAAACATGGCTCTAAAGACAGGGCTGCTGGAAGCCAGCACAACTTTATGGGCCACAAAGTCTTCTTGCAAGTCATTGTACTTGACCCGCAGAGTCACATCACACAGTTGCTGTTCCAGCCGCAGCTCGTTCATAATCTGGAAGGCCTGGTTGGTGTGATCCGCCAGGGAGTAGTGGAATTGGCGGTTACCATTGCTGTGAGAGGGCGTGACTTCAGCCTTGCACTCAGTGGCATACATCCCAAGCTCACTTTCAGCCAACCCTTAGCTGCACATCATCCAAGACAACCACAACATAAAAGTCCAAATAATTAAGCATCCACTTCCCTGTTGTGCAAAAAAATTAAAAAATATCTGTCTAGAAAAATATATTTTGATTGGAAATATTAAGAAACACTGAAATTTTTCACAGTTAATTATCCCGAAATTCCAAAACGGTGAAGATGGTTTTAAAAATGTAATCCAATCTGAGGTCAGTCTCTCCTTCAACAATCCTTGAAGTTTTCATTTAGTATTCCATTGTAGTTTATGAGGTATAAGGCCAAGAATCGATTCCATGGTGCCTACCCTTAAAGTTGTCCAAACAGCAAAATTAAATATAAGTTACTCCATTCAGCTACTGAAAAGTCCACCTAAAGCAAATCCAAGAAGACCATGTCTAGTTCATTTTTAGTTTGGTATCTGTAGATAGAAAAAAAAAAAAAAATGGTTAGTGGTGGTAATTTACAGAGTGGCAGGTTCATCCTGTATAATATATATTCAATGCACATATTTAGCTTTATACCCCTAAGTGACCATGAGCCATCTCCCACCCTGCTCTACTACTCAGTGTGCACCCCACATTCTTCACAATGTAACCACTTCCTACACCCCTAGCTGTCCTACAACAGCCTTTGATTTGATTGCATAATTAAAATGGTGAAGGTTCTTCTATATAAAGAATAGTTGGACATAGATTGCAAAAGTTGCCACATTTCGCATTCCTGTGTAAAATGTAAGTACAATAAAGCAGAAGCCAACAAAAGGTACTACATTGTTGGTCGATGGATCGAATCTTGGTTAGTTCAGCAAGGGCTGTCCAAGATACAATCCATCTATGGGCAGGCCAAATGAACCAAACTCGATCCACTGATGGTCTGATTTTTAGCATGCAATTATTACCCATGGCTATAGCCGCTAGCAGTAATCATTGCTGGGAAAGCTCCTAGCCAGCAGAATACAATAATGCTGCAGGAGACATTTCCCCATCAACCCTCATTGTGCAGATGGCAAGTGATTTTCTTTCCTTTTCACACGTGGTGGAAGGAAAGAAAATAGATTCATCTATGGCTTGCCTAAGCAAGCACACTGGTTGTAATGTGCCTTGGAAGAACACTACTGAGCTACTGAGCAAGAGTGGAGCTTCCCATATAGCTCTGCAAGCAAGAAAATGCCAACACTGCACCGGTAATGTCATCTGCTAAACAACCAATCCAGTTGCTAGCATGGCCATCTATTTGGTGACCAAAAATGATGAACTGACGAGGACTGAGGCATTGAGACATAAGAGTTGTTTTTAGCAGGTGATTGTAGCCGTATTAGTGCATTTGTGACAGGAACAATTGAGTACTGTCCGTGATACTTTTTTTATTTGCACTAACATACAATTTTGAGGACAGGCTTTTGGGGAATGTCCCCTTCTTCAGGTCTAAGCAGTACTGAAACAAAGAATTAGCAGAATGTTAGAAGAGATGTAGAGGATGGGAAAAAAAAAACAAAAAACAAAAACACAGAGATAAGACACAGCAAAAGCAAAGTCGGGGGGGGAATCCCATTGTCCACATTCAGGCCGTTATCTCGTGTCATTCTTAGTTCAAAAGTTTTCTTTCCTGAATGGATTTGAAATTTCCTGTAAGAACTAAATTATTGAGGTCTCCCAAAGTGTGGTCTGGTTGTGCGAAATGGTGTCCCACAGGTGTGCAGAGGTCATCTTCTTTATGTTTCTTGATGGTATGTTTGTGCAAATTCATCCTTGTTTGCAACTTGTGTCCTGTTTCGCCAACATAAGATCCTTTGCTACATTTGCTTAGATCTGAAGAAGGGGACATTCCCCGAAAGCTTGTCCTCAAAATTGTATGTTAGTGCAAATAAAAAAAGTATCACGGACAGTACTCAATTGTTCCTGTTTTTAGCACCAAAAACTTTCTAGACCATTTTTTTTTGTTTTTTTTTTTTTGTTTTTTTTTTTTTTTTTTAGAAAAGATGGGTTTAAAGTAGCAGACAGTATATATCACTACACACATGCTGCTGAGAATAGCTCTGCTCCTGGCTGGTCAGATACTTTCCTAAACAAGAGAAGCAGGGAGACATTTGCCTGTCTAAGCAGTGCCACGGTTCCCTGCATGAATACGTGACAACCTAGGACAATTCTTAGAAATCAGATTCAAGCTTTCCTCGTTCAACCTGTATTTCCAGACCACTGCTTAAAATAAAAAAATACATTTGTGCAAAAAAAAAAAAAAAAAAAAAAAAAAAGCAAAAAAACACAACACACACGCCAAGTGCAGTAGTGGGCTGACAACATTGCCATTTATGCTCAAGCAGTTTTGCCAGTCCTGTGAAGAGTTCTCCATTCCATGACTCCAATAAAACAAACCCCTCTCCTCCGATGTACAGTTGTGGCCAAAATTATTCAACCCCCACTGAAATTGAGTGTTTTGGCCAGTTTGACATTGCTTTTGATCATTCAGTCATCTTGCTTACATTTACATTAAAGAGGCACTTGTAGGTCAGACAAATATAACATAACAGTTATAATGAAATAACCACAAATGTCTTTTCTGTGCTCACAGCATTATCAGTTTTATTCAACCCCCAAGTGACATTCAATCTTAGTACTTAGTACAGCATCCTTTTACAGTTATAACAGCTTTTAAACGTGAAGCATAGCTTGACACAAGTGTCTTGCAGCGATCTACGGGTATCTTCGCCCATTCTTCATGGGCAAAGGCCTCCAGTTCAGTCACATTCTTAGGCTTGCGCACTGCAACTGCTTTCTTTAAGTCCCACCAGAGGTTCTCAATCGGATTTAAGTCTGGTGACTGCGATGGCCACTCCAAAATGTTCCAGCCTTTCCTCTGCAACCATGCTCTAGTGGACTTGGAGGTATGCTTGGGATCATTGTCCTGTTGAAAGGTCCAAGGTCTCCCAAGCCTCAGGTGTGTGACGGACTGCATCACGTTTCCATCCAATATCTCCTGGTACTGAAGAGAATTCATGGTACCTTGCACACGCTGAAGCTTCCCTGTACCTGCAGAAGCAAAACAGCCCCAAAGCATGATTGACCCTCCACCATGCTTCACAGTAGGCAAGGTGTTCTTTTCATCATAGGCCTTGTTCTTCCTCCTCCAAACATAGCGTTGATCCATGGGCCCAAACAGTTCTAATTTTGTTTCATCAGTCCACAGAACACTATCCCACAACTTTTGTGGTTTGTCCACATGGCTTTTGGCATACTGCAGTCGACTCTTCTTATTCTTTGGAGACAGCAAGGGGGTACGCCTGGGAGTTCTGGCACGGAGGCCTTCATTACGCAGTGTGCGTCTTATTGTCTGGGCTGAAACTTCTGTACCCACATCTGACAAATCTTTTCTCAGTTCCTCAGCAGTCACACGGGGACTTCTCTCCACTCTACGCTTCAGGTAGCGCACAGCAGTCGAAGTCAGCATCTTCTTTCTGCCACGACCAGGTAGCGTTTCAACAGTGCCCTTTGCCTTGAATTTGCGAATGATGCTTCCTAAGGTGTCTCTTGGTATGTTTAACATCTTTGCAATCTTCTTATAGCCATTGCCCTTCCTGTGAAGAGAAATCACCTCTTCTCTTGTCTTCCTGGACCATTCTCTTGCCTTCACCATGTTTGTAACCACACCAGTAAATGTCTAGAAGGAGCTGAGTATCACAGTCATTTTAAAGCTGCCTAATTGGTGCTTATTATGCTTGATTGCTGCTCGGTGACATCCACAGGTGTTTTCAATACCTGATGGAAAGCACCTGTATGAACCTCTGTTCTTCAGAGTGGTAGTCTTTAAGGGGTTGAATAATTGTGGCAATGAAGAAACCACATAAGAACCATTTACTACTGTATTACATAAACAATTGATGTCATTTTAGTTGCATTTGGGTAGTTACAACGTCCTTGTAGGATTTGATTCTGAATACAATTCCAAATGTACACTATAGTCCCTAAACCCCTTTACAGCATTGGGGGTTGAATAATTTTGGCCACAACTGTAAATATGAAGCTGTGAAAATGAGAAATGTGCTGACGTATTTGGGGAGAGAACACATGACTGACAACACTGCATGAGGGCGTTGTCAGCCCACTACAGGAAGTTGGAAACGTACTGCATTTCTGGCAGGATCATTTGATATTTTTCAGTACTTGCACGGATTTAAAGAAAAATGACATGGGGAAATGTGTGTGTATTCGAAAGCTGTGCTCAATTTTTTAATAGCTCTTGCCCACATATACATTTAAAAAGGAAAATGGAATTACCACTTTGCCCAATCAGGGAATGGTGGGGGTGTGAGTAAAGCCCACCCCTAACCACTTTATACAAACGTCGTCATCAGCATTCCACCACTGTTCCAGCCACCAATAAAATGCTCTATTAATAGTACTCAGGCCTAGTGACTGACTGCTATGCCCTGGCACTGCATCATAGGATAAGGCAACCTGCTCCCCCCATACTCAGAAACACCAAGGATTTTCTGCTGGCTGAGACAGAGGAATAATTGGTGGGGGGGGGGGGGGTCACTGGAGAGACATCAGTGGGTCAAGAAGGCAGCTTTACACAGATACAGTCACCTTGAACAGAATGGGAAAAGTGACAGTCTCATTAGGCGTCCTGCATGGAGAGCAGTTGGGAGTTCCTCAACCTCACACTTTCAGATTGCTAGGACAGGCAAGAACCAGAAAGTCCTTCAGGAGAGAGAACTACAGATTGCACCTACAGAACAGTGTGTTTAGATGGAAAACAACGGTGTATTGGCAAAGAATGCACATATCTTCTGATAAAGAAAACATTTGGTACTCTCATCAAGATTGTCCCCATTGAGTTTATACTTGGCTTCTTTGGACTGCCAGCTGAGAGACTATGAGTCCTTAGCTATCAGCACACTCTTCTTTTTAAGCAAAAAAAACACTCATAGCAAAAATGGTAGATGTTATCTCCTTCACCTCTCACTAGAACAATCTAGAA